TCCCCTTAGTCTGTTACTATTCCTTGCATCATAGGTTCATATGGAGATTAATTTTTAACACTACTAATAACTCTAAGAAAACTCCTGATTGATTGAAACCTTTACACACTTTTCAAGCATCCTGGAAAAGAGCACAATCAACTTCCAGAATGTCTTTACACTGATAGTTTCAACAAAATACATTTCCCCTGAGACCAGCAGAGTCTCAGTGTGCTGGGTGTTCACTCACTGCTCTAACTCTATATTGCAGCCATATTGCATGTTTTCTTATCTTAAACTGGTAAGAAGAAGCTGAAAGGATTCCTCCCTTGTAGAAATTTTTTGATCCCAGTGCTAGATGCACCAGAGCAAAATCCATGGGGTTTAGAAAATTTATGAAAGAGACTAATGGAGTCTCATTCTTGGAAATACTTACAGGAAGATTTGTTGTGTATGGGAAGTTTCACATCTCAACAAATGAAACTTAAGAGAGAAGCCTGATCAGATACTCAAAACTCCCCACAATGTATAGTTATTTCAGCAGAACAACACTTAATTACAACTGCTGTGCTTTGCATTTCCAGACCTTTTTAATAAGTTTTCCACAATTCTGCTCTGTCAATTAGACTCAGTTTCACCTAGTTCAGTCTGAACAATAAGTGAGTTTCCTATTGGTAAAAAAAGTTTGTACTCACCCATTTCCACTAGCATGTGTCAGCAGTCACTTCTTACTGAGAACAGGGCTATGAGAAATAAGTTCATTGTTGATTAACCTGAACACAGCATTTTTCATTGTCCATCGCTCCACCTCAGGAACATCTATTTCCATCCATTCTATAATTATTTTTCAGTTTTAAAAAATCACCATTAGTGCATCATCATTTAATCTTTCTTAAAGACAGTGGGCAGGTTACTCAAGGCAAAGTTCTAATTGACTGCCATGCTTTCTTATTCAGATAGGGTATTCAAACCATACGTAAAGGAGCATGGGAAATGCCTGTCTCAAAGAAAGGATGACAAATAGGCCAACATTAATTTAAACTCTCTGAAGACATCTTTAAAAATAGCCGTCTGCGGTTACAGATTGCTACACCTCCCTCATTTGCCTTCTCTCTGCAATGTAAACCTAATTGCAGATATGATCTATTCAGCACAACATAATTTAAAACTAACAGATTATGTTGTAGAGTTTTAAAAAAGTCTCTGGGGTTTACTGTGCTGCTGCTGGCTCCTACAAGTCTTCAGAAGAGGATCATTCATACTAACACTGCTAAGAGGTGAAAAATTGGTCAGTCCTGCTTTCTGCTTGGCACACTGCTGTCTCCAGTTTATTTTCATTAGCTGCATTTAGACTACAAATGAATCACAACAGATATTAAATACTAAATCCTTCAGGCATATGCTGAGTCACTGGCTGTGGGCCAGAGCATCAGACTCACTACATCAAACTGACATGTTCTTCCAGCATTTATCATGTTGTGTAATTCCATTGTATTATGACCTGTCTGAGAAAAGGTAAAGAATTAATCATTGTGATCAAGCTAAAGGAATGTAAACCTTTGATTCCAGATACTGCTAATTAAAACATAGTTTTAAAAACTCTTCTAAGTTAACAAACATTGTTTCAGTAATTGTATTGTGTCAATTAATTTATGTATGCATTTGCAGAATGTATATATATTACACAGAGGAAGAAACTCAGGAAGGTAGTTTGCGGGACAACTCCTTCCCTATGTTGTCTAAGGATTAGGTAGAAAAGATGAGAAAATAATAAGTAGGCTCACAGACCAAATTATCTGACCTACCATTCTCCAATAGTATACCCTCATAGTCAACATGATCTTTTCAGTACTTACAATCAATATAATAGTCAAATTACTCTTCATGGGGCCCTCTATCAAGGACCCAAGACATTTACAGACTGCTGGAACACCTCAGTTTATGAACATGTTCTGCTCAGTTCACAAACCCAGTGCTCTCCTCCCATCCATCAGCACTGCAGTAATGTGCACCAGATGCACGGGCAGCGAGTCCTTGGTATTCAGACCACATCTTTAGCAGAGAGACTCATTTTCTGTCTTGTGTGCTGGATCTCCAGTTTTCAGCTTTTTACCCTTCTGTGGCACTGAAATTCAGCTATCTGACCACTTGTACTGCCATGTGGTCAGACACTCAGCAACCGCAATTAACCATTTTGGCAAGCTCTGAAACATTCCCTCTCTTCAAATGAATATTGCTGATCATACATTAGCCAGACTAGAGTGACCACACTTCAGTAACAAGGTCTTCCTTCTTTTCAGACACATGGGAATACTGCCACTGTGTTGATACTTGTACCTTCTGAGTGCATTAAGAACAGCACATGGGCTATAGGAGCAACAGTCAGTGCATTTTTGAAAGTTCTGAAAGCTGTAACCATGTAGCTCTGTGATACCGCAGTACCATTGCCAACAGCAGGCCATAAGCTTTGCACTGAATTTGCAGCGCTTTAGGCCTGAGGCTTGTCAGCTGTGCTCTGTCTGAATATATCTTTGTTTTGCTTGGTGTAGCCGTGTTTGCAATTACTCTAACTGACCTGTTGTGTGCCTCTAATTTACTTTGCTTTTGTTTCTCTTTGTACAACCATAGTTTTATATAAATAGGAAAAAGCAGTTAGTCTGCTTATGAGTACTTATGACTAACATAATGTAGGATGAAGAGGTATCAGCCTGGTGCTATAGTAGAGGCTTTTAAGAAGTGGAGACACAGAATGTGGTATGTAGGGGTACAGGTAAGGGAGGATAGATATGAGACACACACTTAGCACTGGTGACTATAAATAACTCAACCATGATCAATAACAAAATGCAGACAAAGCTGGGTTTAGAGGTAGCTAAGAGAACAAAGGAGCAGTATCCAGTACATGTAAAATGCACCATACATTATAAATCCAGGTATATCATGGAGCTGCAGACCAATGAAGTAACGGCAAAGGTGTAAAGTGTATCAGCAAATGTATAAAAATGACACAAGAGAGAAGGAACTTTTTTTTTTCTGCAACAGATCTAGACTAGTAATGATTCTTGAACTAGATTAATTTCAAAAATCATGGCTATATTAGACACACACATATATATATCAAAATGTGTGCTTCCTCTTTGTAAACAAGATTTTGAATGTGGCAGATTACTGATGCCATTGTTAATGGCTAACTGCCATTGTTATGGCTAAATGCTATCCATGTTTGCTTACATTGTACCAATGGAGATGGAGGCAGATAAAAGACAGAAGCTCTGGTAAGTCTAAATTTTAAGCAAAACGGAAGAACTGTAGTTACAGCTTAATTCAGGGAACATATCCTGACTGGCAGAAATTATAAACGTAGGTCAAAATATGACAAAGAACAATCAGTTCAACTGTGAAAAGAAAACCTAAATAGATGTAAGTTTTTAGTTTGGTAGGAAATTTGAGGACTTAAATGTCAAATATTTTAAAATTACTAGTTTTCTTATCACAGTTCTCACCATCTCCTGTTGAGCAGAGTTGAACAGAGAGCTTTGACATGCTTTAGCTTCCTGCAGGTCAAGAAACAAAATGAATTAGAGGACCTTTCTTTCAAATTGCTGTTGTCTAATAAGACAAATTGAACAATTAAACTTTCTGTTGAGAAGTTTTTAAATTCAAATGCATGGTGAATTCATACAGTCAAACCCAAACATTTTCAAGCGCTTTCCTATTTTCGCATCTGAAATGCAATCAGAATTGCCAGTTCTCCCTAAAAGCAAGACAGAATTCATACATGCTAAAACTGTGTATACTGTTCAGTTTGGGAAGTCAATGCTTGATGCTTTTTTCATTTTTAGCAAGGAATGTTGTTGGCCTTTCTTCTTTAATTAATGTAATTATGTAAGTTCATGAACTAATTGTCAAATTTCTTGATATGAAATACCAATAATCAGCCAATAAGACTACTATAGCTATAATGACTAAAAGTAAGATTCATTAAATACATTATTCTGTGACTGTAAATAGGAATTCCCTTATGGAATAAAACTAATAATTTGATTCAATGTCAACATTGGATTATTTGGGGATATGACAGGAGACTGGGAAATGATTCAGACAGAGCAAAACATATGTAAATCAGGCTACAGAATACACACAGGATGCATTCTCCTGAGAAAGTACTTGCAATTGCAAATAATCAAAAGTTAGCTGCAGTTCAGTACAGTGTTTCAACATTGTTAGTACCACACTTTGCAGAGTCCTTTTTAATTAGCTATATAATAAGTACAGCTATGCCCATTTCTCTGATAGTTGCACAGGTTACATTAAAGAATACAAGCATACGAGAAAAAAAGATACACACCTTAAAGGATATGATTTATGCACTGGACCGGAATTCAGGAGATGTAGGTCTCATTCTCCAGTTTGCTGATGATTTGCTGAATGATATTGGGCAACTTATTTTTTGTTTCTGTGTTTCCCTAAATATTGTTTCTTTATAGTGTCTATACAGAATTTAACCATACAGACATTATACATGACAGAACTAGCTCATGTTCCTTTTCATACTGTGCGAAACACTATGGATGCAGATCTTAGTGAAGAACATCTATGTACTAATGCTATAAATTGCTTAACAACTTAGATAATGAATTCTCTGAGGCAGTTAATTGACCTACATCAAAAGTACGTCATCTCTTTCCTACAACAGTCAACATGTCAGTTCCGTTGCAGCCAGAGAAAGGAAAAAACCTAAAAGCATACTAGTGAACACCAGGAAAGAAACAGAAATTATCTCTAACTTTCTGCTTTGATTTGCCTTGGTGGTGTACATGCCACCCACTCACCCCTCAGCTTGTAGTTACTGGAGAAAAGTATGCACTCCTGTGCCAGACACTAGCTAGTATTCCACTTTTCACAGTTGTTCAAGCACAAAATCTGCTTTAAAGTTAACAGCACTAAAAATACATCAAGAGAAACACATAGGAATAATTAATTATAATCTATTTCTCAACAAAATTAATGCTATCAAGTACGAATGAACATTAAACAGATACAGACAAAATATAAACAATGATACTTCAAAACACACTTGAAATAAGGTCCAAATTATTTCTAAGGCATCTAATACACTCTGACAATTCAGAATTATAAAGACATTTCTGCAAAAAAGATATTAAAATAGTTTACTTTACGTGTAGATTGTTTTTTCATTACTTTAATGGAAAATGATTATGAGAATTCATATGCAATTTGAGTAGAACAAACATGTCAAGGTTTAATTTAAATAAAGTCTTTTTGAATAAAATATCAGTGTAATCAATTCCACTGGCAGCCATATACAGCATGGAATTACTTTATAATCCTATAGATTTAACTATACTGCATTCCCTTTCTCTGTTCTAACAAAGCAAATGTGTCTGAACTAGTATAGGAATTGATTTTTAGCAGTAACGCTGCAGGAAGATGCATCATCTATGGTGATTTATGGTGGAAACTGTAGCTACCTGCAGGTAATACCTTAGAAATCATGTCTTGACCCTTAACAGACCTTTGCTATCACTACTGTACCATTGTATAGAAGCAGAGACAGCACCTGATGACTTTTCAAATTACACATATGTGAAAAGAGGATATATTTTTGATTTTTAGTTTTTTACACTGCCCACTGGGCCCTTTTTCAGTGCTTCACAATTTAGGATGTTGAAGTCACACCTGAAATCTTGAAACAATACAACTGAATTGTTAGGAAACTAATGCAGTTACTTATAGCTACTTATAGTGACAAAAAAAAACACTGGAAAAACAAAACAAAACAGACCTTTGCCAGCGGTGTGCCAGAGCACACAACATACATCTGTACCAACTTACTTATGAGTAATCATGGATGAACATAATGTTAATAATTTTCTACAGAGGAGAGCTATATCACCAAGTGCATTCTGGTTGTTTTCAACAGTTATGACTGCCAAAGTATCAACTGTAGAGAAAATCCTTTGTACTTAATAAGTATTCCTTACTAAACTGTAGGCAAAAAAATAGCTTCACTGCTACTGCAGTGAGACGTCTTTATCAACATTTGATAAATTATGAAATTCCAGAAGTGCTTTTAAGTACTACAGCTTTGACTAGCAGCAAAGCATCTATTTTATTTATTTAGTCTGTTAAATACTAAATGAATGCGTATATATATAGATGTATATAAATGTACATGACATATTTTATATACACCAATCTACACAATATATGCCTAAAGATAGACATGTAACACAGACATTTTGAAATAGCAGTAAAACTAGCTGGTTTTGAAATAACAAGAATTTTAGAAGCTATGCTGGATATAAACAATGACTATTAACATGGAACACCAGCATTAGAATTTGTTACTATCCAAATAGAGAGAAATTCCTTCTAAATATTAAAATTGTGATGATGTTTTTTAATCTAATTCTGGTACAGTGAACCTGCAGATATTTTCTGTCTGGCCATATTACAAAGCTCTTTTTCTTCCCACAGAAGACATACATGGATATAAATAAGTTTACAGGCTTTCAACTATCATTCCAGAAAACCTGACTATGCAACAATTCTTTTAAAATATTAACAAAAATAGAAGATATGTACTGTTGGGAACTGAGTTTTTCTCCTATAGTATAAACCTTCCCAATGTTCCCTGTAAAGTGCTTATATTGTAAACAGATCAAAAATTAAGAATATCATCCTGAAATATCACTCAAGGTCCCTTGAAGCTGTCTAACATTGGTATTCCATCTGGATGCTATTTAATGAGCCAAACTCGTCCCTTTGGTAATCAGATAGCCTCAGGTGAAGTACAGGCAGGTTGATTTCACTAGGAATGGTTCTGAACCTTCTGTCCAGAATTACAAGTTTTCTTCTTTTGCTTGATAGTTCTTTGTTCCCCTTGAATAATAGAGATACCTGCAAGGGGGAGGGTGTAGGGATGGAAGGGGGGAGATGGGGAGATGGGAAGAAATCCACAGTTAGTATGTGTTGGAAGTAAGAATTCCCCGCTATTCACATTCACCAGGTATGGAATCAATCTTTGTGCTATCAGCAGAAAGCTGGCGTACAAGGATGATGTAGAAGCCAAGGAAACTCAGAAGTCTATCAAAAGAAATGTTTTACATTAGGGTTTACAACAGAGTTTGATGCAGAAATCTCTGGGTGAAATTTTATCATTCACGATACACACAGGGAATTAATTTGTCTAATGATCCTCTGGCACAAGATTTATGGACTAGTTTGCATTGCGCACAAATAGAATTAGAGCAGCAAAGATCTCCCACAGCTGGTCAATGAGGCCTGAATGCAACATAATGTATTTGTCGGTCAGCTTTAACTTATGTAGCTGATGTACATCCAGAGACATCAGCACTATGAAGAACTACTTCCGTCTTTAACATCACTTCTTTCACCCTAATTCCTTTCTAGCCTGCAAGAAAAGTAGCGCAGAAAGTGATTGGAGATGCTTCTGTCAGCTTGTGAACATTTTCTCATAATCAAGTCGTACTTCATTGTTATGATTATTCTATGAAAATATGATGTAAAGACTTCTTTTCATAATCAGTGCTATGAGAAAGTAAAACAGGTGTTTATTTTTTGTCTCAAAACTCCACAGTCTCTATTCCAAGAGCCAGACCTTTTCCAAAATTTTCCCTAGCTACATGTATATGATATGTACAAGCCAGATATCCAAAGCCCTTTCAAACATTCCTTTATACCCATAGTCCTTCAGGAAGCACAGTGTTATTTTGATTACTGAAGTACTGACAGACATTAAAGTATTCTAGTAATAAGGAAAGGAAAAATATGAAAAATAATTTATAGTTTTGCATACACACTTCAACACATGTGGAACCAATCAATCAAAATAGGCTGAAGGCTGACAGCAAACTATCATTCAGCCCCACATATGTCGACAACATAATCCTTAATGGGGCACTGTACCTGTGCAAAAAATTGAATCATAGAATAGTTTAGGTTGGAAAGGACCTTTAATCATCATCTAGTCCAATCCTCCTGCCACAGGCAAGGACACTTTCCACTAGACCAGGTTACTCAAAACCCCATCCAACCTGGCCTTGAACACTGCCAGAAAAGGGCATCTACAACTTCTCAGGAAAACCTGTTTCAGTATTTTACCACTCTCATAGTAAAAAACTTGTTCCTTATGTCCAATCTAACCACTTTAAGTTTAAAACTATTGCCGCTTGTGCTGTCACTTGTGTTGTACCCTGGCAAAAAATATCTCTTGCATCTTTCTTATAAGCCCCCTTTAAGTACTAAAAGGCTGCAATAAGATCTCCCTTGAACCTTCTGTTCTCCAGGTTGAACAAGTCCAACTCTCACAGCCTTTCTTCATAGCAGACATGATCCAGCCCTCTGACCATTTTCTGCAGCCTTCCTTTGGACCCATTCTAATTGATTCACGTCTTTCTTGTCGTTTCTGGAATCCAGATGTGGATGCAGTACTCTAGGTGAGATCTCATGAGAGCAGAGTAGAGTGGGAGAATCACCTCCTTTGAACTGCTGGTCACACTTTTTTTGACGCAGCCCAGGCTACAAGTGCTGGCCTCTACATTGCTTGCTCATGTCTGATTTTTCACTCACCAGTATCACCTAGTCTTTTCTGGAAGTGCTGCTCTCAATCCCTTTATCCCTCAGTGTGTATGTGATATAGACTGACTTCAGTGGGAGACTGCACTGATGCAGGTGCAGGACCTTACATTTGGCCTGCTGAACTTCATGATATTCAACAGAGTACACAACATACAGTCCTCAAGCCTGTCAATGACTCTGTCCATGGAAACCCTTTGTGTGGCCCCAATTTCTGAACACTGAGGCCAGTCATGTCTTCAATTTCTTCAATAACTGTCAAATTGTGTTTCACTTAGCTTAAGAGTTCCCAGAATTCCTTTTAACAGCATCTTCCTGTGACATAGAAAGTTATTATATTCTTCCCGGTTAAACTGCCTTAGCTGGACCAAACCATTGAAGGCTCAAACAAAATAAAGAAAAATTCCTCTTTACTTCAACTCAAAGTGTTTAGTTTACAGCAGCTGTATAAGATACTGGTCTGACAACACAAGAATTATTCCAGACTACAGTGAGCTTTCTGAACCACTGTGAGTAGGAATGTTCCTTCTTATGTGGTATTATTTGACAGACTTCATCTATGCTCTATACAAGTACTCTGTCAAGCAGACATCTCAGACACACAGAAGTCAGTCTCAAAGTCTTTACTTCAAACTGGTAGGAAGACCTGCATTAGAACTGCAAAAGGAAACCCATCTTATCTCAGCCAAACAAGTCTGTGATGACAGATGCTTCTACTCAAAAGATGTGAAGCTCATATAAGAATGTCTGAGATCAGGGCATGTGATCTCTGCAAGGGATCAGAGCCACCTGCCTATTGTTGAAAACAGTCATTCTCACAGTCCAAATGCTGACAGACAGCTTCATAAACATGCACTTTTTCTGCAGACAGTGTGGACCTCAGGCATTTCCACTGTCAGCAGACCACTTAATTTTATGTATTCATCACTGAACTGTGCCAATGACTCAATACCTACCAGTAAGCCAAAATTCAGGTCAGATGCTCCTTCATTTTTTCCAACAAGAGGTGAAATGCACCTTTCCACGTACCTCATCGCTGAAGGGAATCATCAGCTGAGGGGAGAGGATCTGCATCAATGACAGTCCTATCACAGATTATTTTGGTACTTGCACCAGATGGATCTCTGGATCACTTCTCTGTTCTGCACAAGGCAATGTCATGAAGTACAGCCAGGTTCTACATCTAAGTCCTAATATCTAGCAGGTCTGATGCTAGCCAAATCTAGCTATCTTGATGCTGACTAACTGCTAGAGGGACAAACAATTTTGGCTACAGCCCCTATCATTCTGATTTACAGGAAAAAATGCCTAAAAGAGAAAAGACTGACTTACTAACGAAAGTGGGAAAAGTTTTTTCATGGAATTGTAAGATCAGGAAAATGCACATCCTTTCTCTGTGTCATGAGATTACTGGCCATCCCTGAAGTGACCAGAACATTCCCGCAAGTCTCTTAAAATCAGTCAGCTAATAAGTTTTTCACACCTGGCCATCCAATTTTGACATGCACAGCAGCTAATACGTTAGTATCTAAGTCATACATTTTTCCCAATTTTAAGTCATTATTTCCCTAGAACTCCACTGTGCCATTAATAGGAAGTCTGTTCATGCTGCTTCTCCATTTTCCCTTTCCTTTAAAAGACTTGGGAAAGGTAGGCCAATACAGCCTCTTAGTGGAAGGACAGCTAACTCAAAAGATGTAATGACTGCTGATCTGTGGGAATAGGGCAGCATTCTTACAGCGCTACACAGATCCTCAGCTGATAGCCATCAGAACTGCAGGTGGGAAGATTGAAGGCTTTTGCAGCCATGGATGTTTAAGTAAAATAAAGTACTTTGGCAGACTTTTCTACCTCCCTGGGGAGAAGTACAAGTCAACAGAATGCCGGTATGTCTTTTAATAAACATTGCTGGCCAAAACAATCTTCTTTCCTATGTGCAAGATATAAGAAGTAAGAATCAACATAGACAACTATCTGGAAGAAGAAAACAATTAACAGAAAATGCCAATTAACATTAGCAGAAAGTGGTGCCAGAATGGAATAAAAAGTAGAGGAGTGTCTTAAATCACCTAGATATCACTAAATCAAAAAAAAAACCTTAAGATTCCAGGAGCACTGGAGCTTTGTACTTTCATCTACTGTCTAGTTTGGTATGTTCTACAACAGTAGAAAACATTATAACTAAGCTAAATATAAATTTTAATCCATTAACCATGTAACACAATTAGAGAGGTGTATTAATGGTGAAGAATACATGGATAACATGGTAAGAATTTGCGCATAGAAAAGCTCCATTAATGCATCCCTGTTTCCAAATGATGAGCCTATTGACCATAGACCCAATACAAATGAGGGTTGCCCCAGACAGTCAAAATTCAGAATTTGCTATCATTCCTGAGCTATACTGTCCTTCTGTAAATAATAGCTCAAGCTATTCTTTGAGTAGTTAAACATATAGCTATCATTAGAGCCAGACTTGACAGTTTTCCTCTTCATGAAATAGCTCTACCTACATGAACGATTGCTTCTCTAATTCTAAAAAACACAATAACAATGGAAAAGACTGCATTGAGCAAAGTTACAAAAATGTGTCAAAATGTTAATATATGCATTTCATTATGAAGGCTGTTTCCTTCTATTATTACTTGCATTGCAACCATTTTTTTCCCTACAGAACTAATGTCAAACCAACATTTTTTTCATTTCAAATAGTTAAAATTATTCATAGTAGTTTGTATAGTGCTGTGTTTTGGATTAGTGATGAAAACAGTGTTGATAACACACCAGTGTTTTAGTTATTGCTTAGCAGTGCTTATACAGCATCAAAGCCTTTTTTGTATTTCACACTGCCCATCAGTGAGTAGGCTTGAGGTGTACAGGAAGCTGGGAGGGGACACAGTGGGGACAGCTGACTCCAACTGACTAAAGGCGTATTCCATACCGTAGGACAGCAATAAAAGCTGTGGGAAGAAGGAAGGGTGGCAAGGGGGATATTCGGAATGATGGCATTTATCTTCCAAAGCAACAAGTGTGATGGAGCCCTGCTTTCCTGGAATTGGCTAAGCATTTACTTGCTGATGGGAAGTAGCAAATGAATTCCTTGCTTTGCTCTGCTTCTGTGTGCAGCTTTTGCTTTACTTATAAAACTGTCTTCATCTCAAGCCACTTTTTATCCTTCTGATTCTCTTCCCCATCCCACTGCAGGGGAGTGAGCAAGTGGCTGTGCTGTGCTGAGCTGCCTACTGGGGCTAAACCATGACAGAGCTACAGCACTCAGCTGAACATAACTCCTGTCTCTGACCATTGTTACTTTTATTTATTTAGAACTAATGTTTTTTGATGCAACTGAGTTTCTACTTGGATCAAGTCTCTTAATACAATTTATTAAAAATAGATTTCTGCGTCAATTTTGATATTACATGTCTACTTCAATATAAAACCCTGATGAACATTTGAAAACAGTATCCATTGTCCTATTTATAAATAGGCTCAAAATCAAGGATCTTGCCTTTTGTGCAGTGTAATATTAAACCAGAAGGAGAAAAAATAAAAAAAGAAAGAGTGGCACAATGGATGTGAACAGAATAATTCTGAAACACTACAGAGATATTTTTATGCATGTTTACCAAATTTCTGTGTAAATAAGTAATACAATACAATACTGCTGAATAATTTTAGGAGATTGGGCATAAGTTGCTTATTCAAGATAAAGCTGAGGGTCATTATCCTCAGCTGGTCATTAATGCCCATGAAATTACTGGAATTGAGGTATTAATTACTACTATAATGAAGATGGGGAAGGAAAAAAGCAGCATGACATTTTTCTCATGAAGCTGTCTCGGTTTCTAAAGGATTCATGTTTCAGCACCCAAATGAGCTGCTTGAATCTTTTTTAACCCTTTTTACAGTTTATTCATCCTACGACAATTTTCATGTCATCACCTCATTTAAGGTTTGGTTTCCCATCTCGTATTCCTTGCACAGCAAGGGCAACAGCAATGGGAAGGAAAGACAATGCACACAAATTCCCCAAAATAGAAAATGAACAAGAAATGTTTTCAGAATGTTTTCTCTACGAAGTGTGCTACACAAAGAGGTACCGGATTGCATTATTATGCTATACATTATCTAGCTGTTTATGATGCATTTAACAGTGCTTTTAGCAATAGCATACATCCCATGTCATTGCCTAGCAGCTATGGAATTCTTTCTTCAAAACAGATTCATCCTGTAGCCGTACAACATATGGAACCGATACTCTTAAGTCAACTTAATTGGAAATTATGAAGAATGCGGTACTAAAATGAAGAAACACCTTTAAAAACGTGCATCTTCACAAATAAAGTTTGTGCATTCTCAGGACTTTTGAGCCTTTGAAGACTCAGTTTGCTTTTTTTTTTTCCATAGTTCTATTAGAAGAGCTAGAAACTTATTATGCACAGACAGGAAGGCAACTTGTTTCCTGCTAGAAACACCATCATTCTGATTCCACTCTGAAAGACTCACACATGCCTCATCTTTACAACTTCCTATCTTTGAAACTGAAAAAACTCAACCTAAACTGAAAGCTTTTTAAAATAAGAAAATTTAAAAATAGGTGTATTGCCCTATATGTTGTTAAAGCAAACAACATACAGCTATCCACTGCTCCTAGTACTTTTTTCTAAAGCTTTTCTCTGAACACGTTTATAAGGGGATGCCAGGAAAACTACAGGATGCAGAGTTTCTGCTGGAAAATTTGCAGTTGCAAATGCTTCTGAAATGCTTCACTGTGTAAAAAGGAAAGGAAGTAGAGCAAGGCTCAAAACAGTTTTAGGCAAGAATGAATGATAGAATGTTGCTCTGAGGGCTGCAAACCAAATTCTGTTTGGTGGAATAAAACCAGAAAATGGTGGACACTGATAAGTGACTTGCAGCGCAGCTTGAGAGTGATTTGGCCTTCTAGCTTGCTTAAGCTGTTTGGATAGTTTGAGGCAAAACCTAATGAAGCATGTCTGCCAGCCAAACGAATCATTCAGTACTGGACAGCTGTCAAAACTGGACTGTTTAGCTATTTGGAGAGAGTGAGAAGCAAAAAAAAGAAAAAGAAAAGAAGTAAAATTACTTAAGTTCTAAAAGCTCTGAATGGCCTTAAGCAAAGCATATCATAGCAAAAATGGCAAGCCCTCTGGAAATAGGCAAGTTTTTGACAGCCAAGGCCAAAGCATGGTCTGTCAATTTTCTGGAAGAAAAAGGAAAATAGTAAGTTATGTGGGAATAGGTCCTTGTCTAGAATAGAAGCAATGTAATAGTGACAGAGGAACACAGATAGTTATGCATCATGGCAGGTAATAGGATTCAAAGTATAGTGAAAAATCAAGTTGCTGGTGACAGACCACCAACTAGGTTGCAGTATGGCTATTTTGTATCTGCCAGCTAAAGCCAGAACATGCTAGAGTAGTGACATACGTGCAGTTGAGTGGGTGAAAGTCTACAGCAACAGTTGTTATGTGCACATATTAACAATTCTGAGCAAGATGAAAAAGAAAAATCAAATCTAGTCAACATACTTTTAAATTTCTAAGGAGATTCATACCCATAAGGAGATTTCACTCCATTCTTCTCACCCACTCTAAAATCAGTTTTGTCTTTGTCACAGTTTAAGCCCAGCTAGTAACTCAGAACCACGCAGCTGCTCGCTCACTCCCCCTGCCCCCTTCTTCCTCCCCTGGCTCCTAGGGGGATGGGGAGGAGAATCAAAATAATGCAACTCCCCCAAGTTGAGATAAGAACAGTCCAGTAACTAAGGTATAACACAAATCACTGCTGCTACCACCAATAATAATAATGATGGTAAGGGAAATAACAAGTGAATACAACCACTCACCACCTGCCAACCGATACCCAGCCTGACTGAGCAGTGATCTAGGCCTTGCGGGTAACTGCCCCCAGTTTATATACCGGGCATGACGTGCTGTGGTATGGAATACCTCTTTGGCTATTTTGGGTCAGGTGTCCTGTTTCTGCTTCCTCCCAGCTTCCCCTCCTCCCTGGCAGAACATGAGACTCACAAAGTCCTTGGTCAGAGTAAACATGACTTAGCAACAACTAAAAACATCGGTGTTATCAGTGTTGTTCCCAGGCTGAAAGTCAAAAACGCAGCACTGGAACACAGGAGAAAAATGACTGCTACTGCTGAACCCAGGACACTTTGCTACAAGGGTCATGAATAAAACACAAATCAGCACTGACTGTGGATAACAGCGCTGCTGAAGAAGTTGCATGACTCAGGAAACACAATGTGAATTTCAATGTTCCTATGCTCCTGGGAAAATCAAATATGTAGTGCATCCACTATTATGAAAAAGGATGCTAACTATCCACTGGCTTTCTCCAGACTGTATGAGTGGGAATGTCCTGCTTGCTGCTTTCTTCTGTTCCCTTCTGCAGGACAAACACAGCATAGAGAAGAACACCTTATCGCAGAAGAACACACTGTCATCCCATGTAGCTATAAAGAGCATTCTCTTATGTCTCCTCTAAAATAAATTTTAAAAAATGCAGGAAAATAACTTAAGGCTCTACAAAACAACTACTCTGCAGGGAATACCAGCACAGCAGAAAAATAAGTAGTCCTAAATAAATCAGTAAAAGCAGAATGTTAGTTATTTTACTGCTGTTGGTCTTGTGCTTTTCTGTGCTACATGGCATTCCTATGCTACATGTTAAAGTACTAGCATATTTGTCTGCAATCTTTGAGCATTCTTTGTATTTCAGCAATAACATTTACATAGGACAGGTGGAAATGGAATGAAGCTGAACTAGGGGAAGTTCAGATTGGACATTAGGAAAAAGTTCTGAAGACCATCTCCTGAGAGGGTGGTCGGTCACTGGAACAGGCTCTGCAGGCGAGTAGTCACTCCACCAACCTCATCAGAGTTCAAGGAGCATCTAGATGACAGTCTTAGTCAGATGGTTTAGTTTTAGGTACCTCTGCGAGGAGCAGGGAGTCAGACTCGATGGTCCTTATTGGGTCACTTCAACTTGAGATACTCTGACTCTATGATTTCCATTAATAAAAATCTTATTTTCATAGTAGTTTGTGTAAAATACTCAAGTCCATATTCAGCATACACCTGATTCATTACAGTTAACTGCAGTAAGATGCTTTTTGCCGGTCTGTGAGATAAATGCCTATACAACTACAATACATTTATACACTTATAATAAGACTTGCTAGGTCTTGATGTTAAAAGTGAGAGCTTTTTCTTATTTTATTTTTTTTTTTCATAAATTGTGCGATATTTCTTCTACAGCACCAAATCTTGGGAGCTTCTGATTAGGATGAAAATTTAAAATACTTGAAAACACTTATAAACAAATCTGTTAGACCTCACAACTGCAAAAGTGATTTGTAAACATGATTCAAGTATACCCTGAAGGTTTAAAGAGTGAATTATTATTTTATTGTGGGAGTGGTTAATCATGATTTTTTAATACTTACAGACGGCAGCAAGACACTTGTAAGCTGGAATTCCAATTTTGAGAAGGAATAAAAATATTATATATAATAAATAAAAATATTCAGGGCAATAAAATAAATAAAAATATTCAGGGTAATATTTGAAACTAATCAAGCTAGAGTCAATCCATACCGAAAAGTCTGCAAAGAGAATAAATAACTAAAAAATGCCACTAAGGCACCAGGAACTATAAATTCTTAAAACTTCTTAATATCTGTAGTGGGGGGATGGGAGGGTGGTGTATGTTTGCTTATTTGTTTTAGAAAACCTAATTGCACTCTCCCAGGCTTTAAAATGTTGATTACTGCAAAGACAAGGAACAGACTTACTTAATGGAAGCAGTGAAATTTTTTGCTCTAAAGAATATCTGAGACAATAAATACTATCAGGTAAAAAGAATGAGAAATCCTAAGCTACTGTTGTGGACATATATTTTCTTGTGTTCCTCAAAGGTTTCCTGCAATAAAGATATACCATTTCCTGGATGGTTTATGGGAAACGTGAGGAAATACCTGCCAAAGTTGTACTGCTATCATCTGAGTGAAGAAAACAGATGTGACAAAAACCCTATGCCTAAATTAGCTAGTATGTCCATACACTTATGTGTTACAATAAACCATGTATTGAACTAAGTTTAAGGTGAAATTGCCATCATGCAAACAGGTAGATGACACATTTGGTTTTAGCACATCATAATTAACATTATATTTGTAAATTGAACAGACTCACCTGTTAGAGAAATTGTAATAACCACTTTCCTCTAGAACCTCTTCAATTAGAGTCTACAAGATAAATTAATTTCAGTATGTTGTCTTTATTAAAAGTAATAAATTAATACACATAGCTGTATCTACAGCTTACCTGCAACTGTTCGTATGTCATCCCTTCTGCTACATCAGAAACACCAATACCTAAAAATAAAAGAAATAAAATAAAATGCTATACTGCTGAACTGGGGGGCTTATGCTCCTTTATTAGTTTCTTAGCAATTCCATTATAATGATCATGACAAGTGAGATGTTCGATCAGCAGCAGCTTATTCCACTGACCACAATGACCCCTGCATCTTGTGGCATGATGTGAACATTTGAGGCACACGATACTATCACATTATGAAAGAGTTCTGACTCGTGGAAAATATTGTAAATTCTTAATGAAGCAGAACACAGCAATGCAAGTTTCTTATTCTTCTACACTTACTATTTATAATGGAAAGGGCACAGAACCAACAGCAATTTGTGAGGATAAAAGTATTCTTTGCAGGGTAAGAGATTCAAAAGTGTAAGACACTGAGCACCTGAACACATTGCATTATTGTCTCTGGAAATAAAATAAAACTCGTATTTTAAGTGATAGTTAGAGACTCATTTCCTATTCAAATATCACCCTAGACACCTACTATTATTTCTGAGTTTTTTAATAAGTTGTTAAACTGATATGCTAGTTTCAACACAAAGACCAGCAAAATGCAAGTTTCTCACCCTTCTTTCTGGCACCACTGTTTGTAATGTTACTATGTCCTCTAGTCTGTAGTTTGTGATATAGCTTTTCCTGCATTTATACAAATGGAAATGGCACAAATACCAAAACACTGGCTGCACATTTCCCTTATGTCCATTGTGCAAAGAAGTATATGATTAAACATAAATATAAATATAAAAACCTCTGAACTAGGAATTGTGATTCCCCGTCATGGATGATGCCAGTAATGGTATGTTTGACTCAAGATGGAGTTCATGATTTGTCACACTAAGCATCATTAGTCTAAAGTATATTCGATACTATTTATTTTCTAAAGTATAAATATACATACTTTCCATTATATAGATGTGGTATAGCACATATCATTTCCCTCCTGCAGACTTCAGGGCTTGATTGCAAACATGACAGAAGGACAACATAGGTTTTAAATAGAGTTTGTTTAAAAATCATGTGCAAGGACAGGTAAATTCTAAGTATAACATTTTCACTTTTAGAAACATTTCTACTGATTTTCATGGATGAACCATGTGTTATTTCATCTTTGATATGTCTTTGTAATTCCAAAGTATACTCTTTCACATTGGGAAAATGTTCCATCAGTTGTGAACTACATAACTTACCAGGAATTAACACAAAAACCAACCAACCAAAAACCTCCGATACTGAAAATCGGGATAATTAACATAACTTTACTGTCTTCAAAGACAGAAAGACAGATCTTAGAGTAGCAATTCCTTCTGCTTTGATACCATACACTTTATTAGACATATATATGCCACTATAGAGGTTTTGATGCTTTCTTTACCTCTTCTATCATCTGGAAGCAATTCATTTCCACCTGAAGAGGGAAGTAACATGTGCCAATCTGCTGTGAAGAAGTTAGGCTCAATCAGTTCAGGAGAACCTTGTAGCAGCTGGCGAAAGGTTAAAAAAAATAATAATAAATAATAATAATAAAAAAAAAAGGATACCTGAAATCTCCACCCTTCCTGTTTGTCAAAAAAAAAAAATCAGACTTTAATGAGGCAATTCAGCCTTTCCAATGCAATCAGAAGTCAAATGAGATTTCAGTACTTTCTGATTAATGAAACAGTGGTGAACACAATTACAAATGTCCTACCTTCTCCCCAGAAATACTGGCTTAACATTGCAAGCTGCCAATCTGCGCCTAATATAAAGCACTGAATTCTTTATCTGAATAAAATGTCATAAACTATGTATTTGCATAAAGATAAACACGTAAGTGTATTCCATTGAACTCAGGAGAGAAACAGCTGAGAACTCCAGTTTTCAAAACCAGGGCTTCAAGTGAAATTGAACCCAGTACATATTCACATGGTATCATGCCCATTAGAGGGATCCCACACTTTTGAAACCCAAAAGTCAGTTCAGCTACTGGATTATGTAAACAAGAAATCTGACATTAAACTTAAAAACATCTAGTTTTGAAAATATCCACTGGTAACAACTCTGACATGAAAATATCTTTGTGGGCAGGAGAGAAATTCCAGTTTTGCATTCCTGCAGTATGTTAACACTTTTACAATTACAGAAACAGAAGAGTATCTGTTGTTGGAAGACCTTTACCCAACCACCAATCAGTGGAGGAATCTTTTGCCTGTAATTCTAGTTAAGTTTTCTAATTCAGCAAAGTTAAAAACCCATTACTTTAAAATTTTATTTGCAGAAATTACACAACCTCATAACAACACCTCCCGGAATAGTTCTACTTAATTCTTTTCTCTATTTAGATTCTTCCTATTACCTCCCAATGATATCACTGTTACCAAACATATTTATGGTGGTGATTTTGGTAAAATATATACCAGTTATTCACTGATGCTTATCAATTCTCCATCTTTCTAACTGCACTTTTTGTTGCTGCTTTCTATTAATAGTTTCTATAAGTATTTTCTTCAAGGCAAAAATGCCCAGAATTGCATTCAGCATTTCAAACACCTTCAGTTTACTACCAATTACTTTTTAAACAGTCTATTTCTTCCCTTTTCTTCAGGTTTAACTTCAATAGTGTTGTAGGCAATGCAATTTTACAGTTAATAACATTTATAAATAAATAGGGCATACATAAATGCATTTCTGGGCATTTGAAAAATACGTTAATTTTATAATAAACACTTCCTGTTTCTTACCAAATTTTTGGGCATCCTCTCCTGAAAACATCAATTTAATACACAATTAGCAAAGATTTCCTGAGATTTAATGTTATGGCTGAAATACAGAAATTGTTTAATGTAAATCCCAGCTTAATTTACAGGACAGCAAACTGGCGTGAAACCAGTGGCTCAGAGAGAGGCATCTTTAACAATCTTTCAAATGTACTATCAATGTAAACCAACATAAACACTAAACAGCCACTTTCCATGGAGCTTAATTATTACAAAAGTACAGGAAGGATTTAGCATTTGGGGTCAGTCCGTCGTGTAGCAAGCACTGACAATTCCACAATTCAGTGTAAGTGGGTGACAATCAGATTACACAGGGGCATTATGTGAGTGATAAGAGATCATCTTTATCATCATATTTTAGATAGAGTAACATATCTAATAACTGTTTTGTCATCAATTCAAAACTGAAGTATCTTAGTTTCACAGGACATAGATGCCAAGGATGTCATTTTCATATCCTCTGATGACTACAGTCTTCTCGGGAGATTTTGAAGGATCATTTAGAAATTCTAATATTTTTGTTAGCTCTTTCTCTGCTGAAAGCATCCAGCATTTCATTGGAAAACATTCAGGCATGGTTCTTCAGTCATGCCATTCTTGCAAATCTACACTACTTTTGAATAGATGACACTAAACTGTTGCTGACACACTATGCAACAAGAGGACAAGGTATGCTATATTCAAGACACTCTGGGACAGTGCTTTCTTAAAATTCATATTTTGAGTAGGAATACATTCCGAAACAGAAACTAATAAAAAATTAGGAAGAACTTGCAAAATCTCTTTTGGCCTTTGCCACAAAACCATTTTCTTTCCTCTTCCCTTTTTAAGCTCCCATGAGATGAAGTCTGGTTTTGCATATTAGCAGCTAGTAGGTCCTTTCCATTTACAAAAAATGTTCTAATGGTAAGACACAAACTTTAAACCAATCTGTAGAAACATTTTACTTAAGCTCTCGTATTTTCCAAATAAAGGATGGATAGGGAATATTCCAAATATTTCCTTTAAAAATGGAATCTCACACATTGGGACATTAATATCAATAGGTTAATTCAAATAGAAGAAGAGACAAAGTTGACCACAGGTAGTAACTGGTGTACTACACCTTTTTCATTTCTGATTTCAGATTACCAGGATTGCTCTGCTGACTGAAGAGGGACTTCTTGAATCTTTCAATGATTCTTCTTTTCAAGTTGCATTGCAAAGCTGGAGGAAGCTGTATGAAACAAAGAAACAGGTGTTTTCACTGTTTAGTTATACCTGACATAAAGATGACATAATCAGCAGGACCATTACTGGAAAAAAAAGAGTAGCTACACCACAACAAAAAAAAAAAAAAATGATATTTAATAGCATGGTGATAAACACCAGCACAAGACTTGATTTATGGGCGTATTATAATAGCACTCCTTAGTTTGCCCATTCTATTAGGTTTGGCATATCTTGTAACTCAGTCCCTCTAGCCTTGGGAGTAAAAAACATTATAACAAGTTGAAGAGAGGTAATACTACATTTGTCTCCCTGAGCAAAGTGCTAGTATCTGAGATATTTTCCTACAGATGAAGGTCATGAAACATGAGATCAGATTTCGTGTTGACTATAATGAGTGACTCCAGCTGAAATTAATGGAACTTCAAGCAGCTCAGACTTTCATTCAACGTGCGCAGAACAGCTTCAACAGGCTCTTTTAAGGTCCTTATGTACATATTAACACAATTCAGACTGTCTCTTTTGCTAGAAGCTACCCGTAGGAGGTAATTTACATTTCACTTGTTTATAAAGCAAAACTGATTTTGTATATTTTTTTCTCCTGTGGGGTTTTGTCTTTTTTTTCTTTCCTTGGTTGAAAAGGTACACATCTTTCCATATTTTTTACAAAAGAAAAGCACAAATCATACTTTGTATTTTAGAGTCTTCAATAGAGAATTCAAAAGAGAACTCTTCCTTTGCTCTTTTAAAACCATATTTATGCTCCAACAGTAAATGTAAAGCTTCAACTGCTGATCACTACAGTGACATCAACTCACTCTGATAACAATTCTATGGCATGTACTTTGGAAGAGCATTTCGGAAGGCTCTCCTATGCTGTTTCTGTATAGCTGCTTATAGCTGCAGACAGTGTTTGTAGAACTTTCTACCATTTAGTATACACTTTATAACCACATCATTGATGTAAATTCACAAAGTGTCACTCCACTGAATTCAGGAAGCTTTTCAATTACTAAGGAAAGGTTTGACCACTAAGGATGCACATTCAAATACTATCACAGAAGATATTATAAAGATTTTTTTCCACTGGAACAAACCACTGCTGTTAGCCAGTTATAAATCTAGAACAGCTATATTTGCCTCACAGGAGTCTCGATTTGCTCTGACAAATCAGAGATTAAGGTTACATCCTAAGCATAAAAGACGTAATCAGACAGCTGGTTGCACACAAGGTTTTGTCCTCTCTTTTCACACATATAAGGCCTTACACATATGTATTAAATCAGATGATGAATGTTCCTTAGCCTATAAATGAGTGACAAAAATGATGCCTTAGGAAAGGCCTGTGAGATACTCTGTAGACTACAAGCCACTGCAATGGACTCTGTGCAATTGATGTACTATGGGCAAACTGAGCTATACTGAAGCAAAAGTGGTAAAGAACAAGTCCACTGCTTGAGAAACTCAGAGTTGCCTCAGGCATTAGTGATCAATTTCAGCTTTTGTTTTAATGAAATCAGATGTCAGATTAGTTAAAATAAAAATTTATTTTTTTTTAAAGCCAAGGATTTACATAATGCTTTTTTGCTTTTTTAAAAGCTTTCTCTTACATTGTTTTCCAGAGATCACTCTGACTCTTGTTCCCATGGAAACTGAATTGGGAAGGCTGCTGTCAGCCAAGAACTAGGCAAGAACAGGAAAAGAACTCTCCCTTGTAAACTTCAGTTTAGAATTGTCAGCTGAAATACGTAACAGAGCTTTAGAAAACAGCTATGTATTATAAAAAATATTCTAGCTTAGAACATAAACAAGTACAAGAGAAGCACATAGTACATGGTGAACAAGTACAGTATGGATCCTGACTCCTCTGCCTTTCCCTTCCAAAACCAACTGCATCTGACACCAAAAGCATCAAAGTTGTTACTACTGCTTCAATGGTCAATTCTGAGTGAGTCTTTGAGTTGCTGTTCATTCTCAGTTATTCTCATCCACATTACGATAATTTGCATTAATTAGTAGGCCACTTGAGAAAACCATCTTCAACAGAAAGGATAGGTTCACTAATGAGAATTTTGAACACACCCCTAACAGCATGTAAAGACAGAATTGTCTAAGTTCTGTTAGCAGGGGAAGGAGATAATTTCCAGTTATTTTAAACAGCAATTGTTTTCTCTATTCCCATATTACTTGTTTTGACAAGCTTGTCAGTTAAAAAAAAAAAAGACATGTAAAACGCTCCGGAGTTCTGTTTATGCTGTTCTGTTCTAAACAAAAACAAAATTGGCTCAGCAGTTTGAAAACCCCTGAGGGGTTTTTCTCCTGTGTGAAACATCACTTCCCAAATAGAAACACTTAATTTTGGAAAACAAAAAGATGCGTATTTAATGATAGCAAATTTTGCAAGTAATATATTCAGGATTTGAACCATTGCACTAGAAATCACAAGAAATTACCACTGTTTATTGATAATAAAAATATGACTTAGAAGCTATTTAGAAATTATTGGTATAGAGGAAAGCATTTTATGTATTCTGCATGTCAGTATATGGTGCTGTCACTTAAAATATTCATATCGTTGGCATGACAGAACGTTGTAAAAATAATTTACTGTACAATCCATTTTTTTCTGAGGTGAGCCAATGATTTTCATATGACTCAATTATTGCCATCCTCCACATACTAATATTCAAGGTTAGTCTTTATTTAAATGATATATTTTTAAAGCATCCTGCCATCTGCAAAAATGTCAAGTTCTGTTGTTTTTACAGAACAGTGACTAAATTAGCAGCACTTTGCAGTACCATTATTTTGACAACAGCAAATAACTAAAAAGAATAGAATGTCAGAAGCAATAGCAATGCATACTTGACTGATGAAGATGATTTTGTGCAGCTGAATAAGAATCTGCTGAACAGGGTCACTGATCTGACGCACCTTCCTCTGTGATACAGCAATTCTTGCTGATGCTGTAGATGACAACAGTAAAAGCAGGAAGACAGCTCATTTAATTTCCTTAATATATTAATAGTGTACACTGTTTAAAACCTGTAGATGTAAATAGTAAGTTTTAATGCATGACTGGTTTTTCCAATAATGTTGTGAACAAAGAAAAGGATAATCTAAAAACTTGAAAGATTAGACAATGTAATTGATAATGTGTTTCAAAAGAAAATCCCTTTCCCTGACTCATTTCTAAGTTACTCTAAGAGAAAAGAAGTACTAGTGTACTTCCCTAATCATAAAAGTTTTCATACATTTATTAAAAAAATTAAAGATATGATAAACAGAATTTTCTTATTTTAACTGGGGTTTCTTTTTACACAGACTAAACCACACCATATTTATTTTTTTATATTTTAATATTATGAAATTTATTTTAATTTTACCCCAAGAATTACAAGAAAATGTCTACTGTGGACCATCTGAGGAAAAATTTAGAAAAATGTATTTCCATGTTCCCATAGAATCATAGAATAGTTAGGGTTGGAAAGGACCTTAAGATCATCAAGTTCCAACCCCCCTGCCATGGGCAGGGACACCTCACACTAAACCATGTCACCCAAGACTTCGTCCAACCTGACCTTGAACACCACCAGGAATGGAGCATTCACAACCTCCCTGGGCAACCCATTCCAGTACCTCACCACCCTCACAGGAAAGAATTTCCTCCTTATATCCAACCTAAACTTCCTCTGTTTAAGTTTTAACCCGTTACCCCTTGTCCTGTCACTACAGCCCCTAATGAAGAGTCCCTCTCCAGCAACCCTATAGACCCCCTTCAGATACTGGAAGGCTGCTATGAGGTCTCCACGCAGCCTTCTCTTCTCCAGGCTGAACAGCCCCAACTTTCTCAGCCTGTCTTCATACGGGAGGTGCTCCAGTCCCCTGATCATCCTCGTGGCCCTTCTCTGGACTTGTTCCAACAGTTCTATGTCCTTTTTATGTTGAGGACACCAGAACTGCACACAATACAGTGATACATAGTGATGTGTGTTGCTCTATCAAACCTAGTTTTTGTTTCCAATATCTAGCAAAAGCATATTTTTCAAAGAAACCTTAAGAAAATATGCAAGAGCCTATGAATCCCTTGCGTCTTCTTTACACCAGAAAATCATTTGTTTCCATGTCGCAGATTACTCCATGATCAAAATGACACCATCATAAAACTTTTAATGACATTTTTCATTTTTAGAATAAAAGAATATATTTGCTAAGCAAATAATAATACTGTAAAAATTCCTCTCCCTATGAAGGAATAGAATAGACAGTTGCCCTCTATTACAGATTGCATATGATTTTTCTTGTAAATCCCATAAAAATCACAGAATCATGGAATGGTTCGGGTTGGAAGTGACATAAAAGGTCATCCAGTTCCAACACTCTGCCATGGGCAGGGACACCTCAAACTAAACAAGGTTTCCCAGCTTGGCCTCGAACACTGCCAGGGATGGGGCAGCCACAGCTTCTCTGGGCAACCTGTGCCAGCACCTCACCAGCCTCACAGGGAAGAATATTTTTTTAATATCTAATCTAACCTAATCTTTCAGTTCAAAGCCATCAACCCTTGTCCTAGCACTACTTGATCTATAAATAGTACTGTTGACCTGTAAATATAAAGTGACATTTTGAAACTTTTAAATTAAAAGCTAGTTAGGATGTTAAGCACACCACAAAAGGGGGTTGTGCAAACCAGAATATATAAACAAAGATGAAATTCCCATGTACATAAGCATGTAATTATGAGCTATGCACATAAACATTGTACATAATGAAAATTTTATCCCACTCCCCTCTCCCCCCTCCACCATATTATATGGGATATAAAGTTGGTCTGTCTGAAGAAAAAGACTAATCAAATTTAGAAATTAAATATTTTGTTAAAAGACTAAACAAATTTAGAAATTAAATATTTTGTTATCTCAAAAAACACTGTGCTTCTGAATATATCTCCACATCATTTCTATAAGCATTAATATTTTAAGTAGACTTGTACACTAGACAGACTAGAAAATTGACTATTAACTAACTAATCACTAAGAAACGATCATGGAGATCCACACTAAAAAAGAATCGATGGTTTGAGAAAATAATTTTGCTAGAAGTTATTTCTAATATTTTCTTCTTAAACAGATACTCAAAAAGCCTTTCTTATCACATTGTATTTGAAAAATTCCTTTAGCTATTACCTAACAACACACATAATAGATACATATACACAAATTCACAATGCACACACAGGCTTTTATTTTAGTGCTTGACTATTTAATCGGGTATCCAAATGTGACCTTTGCTAAAAAGCATCCATTATACCCAATGGCAATGACACTACATTTTGTAGTACAACTCTGAAGTAAAGAACAGAGTCAGTTTGGAATTAAAATGAGAACTATTACTTTAGAATTAAGAATATGGCAGTACTTCAGACATTTAGGCTTCCTCATGTAATTTTTATTAGATAATTGTTGATAATTTATTTAGATAAGTGTGAGCTATTTATCATGGCAAGGAGCAATAATGCTGAACTAAAAATAGTGAGTAGGTGTAAACCTGTTTCCGTAAAGCTGTACTTTGGTAAAACTAGACTAACCTCTGCCAAGCAAATCCATGCACATAATTTATGCTTTTCATGTATAAAAGACTGTGAAGAACTTATGCATGAATAGAAGCTATGCTTTTCCTCTAGCAAAATAAATTTTAAACAAGAATTTTAACTTTTTCATTCACTTCGGGTTAAAATCAGGTTAAAAAAATCTATCAATCAAGTATGTAAAAATATTTGGCTCTTGGGATCAAGAATAGAAAAAGAAAAAAAGCTAAAAGTGAACGTTTACTTCCCAAACTGAACTATTGTCGGGGACTTATTACTGATTCAGAGAATCCCTTGTCTTATTACAAACTGACATTAAATCGGATATGGTCTTGGTTGTCCAGATTTTGAGACAGATATACTTTCCTGTTGTAGGTACATTTTTTTCTTGTAGTACAAGTAGATTTGTGATTAACAGACCGTCTTCTTTTTCTGAAGTGGAACTGCCCTAATATACAAGCTAATAATATCAAATTCCATGTGATTTGTTTCCAGCCATATGCAATGAGACATTTGGAAAAGACTACCCAAAGGCAGCTTGATAAAAAGCAAAATCTAATTCACTTGACAACTTGAATGAGTGAGCATTGCTTAAAACTTACAAAGCACAATAAACTCGGTACTGATTTGTGGATGTTATACCCAAAATGTTGACCATATTTTGTTAAATAAAGAACATTATGAACTAAGTTATTGAACTAAAAAGAAAAAAAAATAATTTGTGTTCCATGTAATAATTTTAATTCCAGACATGAGAACAAATAGACAAATACTGCTGATAAGGCTTTAGGTAATTTAATGGAATTAGGATACAGAAGTAAACATTACATATTTTACAAACTGTGTAGATTTGCAAAATATCATGCAGATTTTAAATATAACAATTAAAACAAGCAGACCAGCTTGATTATTATTTACCTAGTGTTCCTCGATCATGCTTTGCCTGCTGAGAAAGAGTGTAGAGCCAAAACTAAGACAGATTTTTGAATTTTTATGTGGTAAATCCATCGTTATTTATGATTTTTAATCTTGTGCATTTAAGTCATACACACTGTCAGACTCAGAGATTAAATAAAAGCTTAGCAGCAGACTGCCACTATAAAACAGTGCATCAGTAAAGAACATAAGTAAACAAAATTGGTTTTCCAAGTTGAGTATTAGATCTGGCAGCTAATCAAAGAACTTAGGTCCAAGTATTGAACTTCAGCCAGCATCCCTGTATCTGTCTTAAATAAAGTTACCTCTAAACTACACTTCAGAGGCTAATTTAGATCCATATTCTAAAATTTTCTCATACAGAAATACCTTGAGGTATTATGAGTCTTATTATATGTATTTACACACACAAACTTTTTTTTTTTTTCCTTTGCAAAGTGATCTGGTATCAAGAATGAAAATTCTACTGAGAGAGAGATGAAATCCAAATACCAAAATTAATTAGCCCACAACTGAGCTATTACAAGTTTTTTCCTGCTGAATTTCTGTGCTGGCTATTTTAACAATAAGAGGGACAGTAACAAACTGAAGTGTCTAGGGACCAACCAGACCTAAGCTGCGCTCTCACAGGAAATAGATATAAAACATCTCATCCTTTCTCTCAGAGACACAGATTTATGGTTGAATCAGGAAGATAATGACATTATTGCTATTTCTGAGTTTCCTCTCAATAATCAGCAAGAGGAAGAGAAGTCTTGCATTTACTCTGAGTCACTTAAGGAAGAATTTACGTTGGTCTTTCTGCTCATGACAACAGTGATAACCATGCTGCAATAATCTAAGATATATGCCACAGGAAGAACTAGCTCGAGAGAGGACGCCTTCAACACCGGAGCAGGGGGGGGAGATCAGCGTCCAGGAGCCACAACTCAGAGCGACAAGAGCCTCCCACCGAGGGAGCCCCGAGCCCTCGCCAGGCCCTGCCCAGGAGCCGGCAGCTCAGCTGACGAGAGCGAGCAGCTGACTCACACGGGGCGGAGCCAGGAGCAGCGGCGCCAGCCCTGACTGGGTAAAAACCTGCCCCGGGGAGCGCGGCGGACAGAGCGGGCGAAGAGGGCGGGTTGGGGCCGTTCGCGCGGGCAGGCGGGCGGGACGGTGAGCACTCGTCGTATGAGCAGGGCTCGGTGCGGGAGCTCTGCTCTGGCTGCCCCGGCGGCGGCCAGCGTAGGCACCCAGACAGAGCCGGTGAGAAGGGAGGCTGCAGTGCAGAGCTCGGGGTGTAGAGAGTGCCTGCACTGGTCTGGGGAGGGAATGGTGCGCGATGGGTAGGGCTGCTCTCGGTGCTCCCTGGTGGAGGTCCTCCTGCAGCAGGGGCTGAGCTGCGGGATGCTGTTAATAGGCTGCGAGGTGTCAGGGAAGCTGAGAGGAAGCAGGAATGCTTGCTCCTGGCCCAAACTGTGCAGGGGCCTCGAGCTT